GCGCTATGGCGGAAACGCGGGTCCCGAGTGCTAGCTCGGCCGCACCAACCACATCAATCACGAGAGAATGACACCCCCGCTCTGGGCGGGAGACCTCGTGCCAAACGGCCCAGCACCAACAAACCCGCGCGGGTCGGGGGCTGGCACCTGACTCTGAGGCCACGGGCACTTTGGACCGCAAAACACCCACAAGTCAAACAATACAAAATCCCACCCAGCACGACAAATGAATGGGTCTCGTGACAATGGATGGCCTGGGGGTGCGCAGCAGCGCACTCCAGGGCAGGAGCAGGGGCCGTCGCCTCTCCCTCGCCGTCACTCCTTGGCGCAGCAAGGTGGGCGAAGCGGCTGCCCTGACATTCCTCAGTCCAAAAACGGGACAGGGCACCACGTGTGCTGAACTTGCGATGACAGATACTACACTTGATCAAAGTGCGGAGAGTGATGGGACTATGGCCTTGCGCTCGCACACGCTTCTCCCGCTCCTGCGCAAAAGACCTCCCACCTTTTCTCCGCACGTGCTGAGGCCCTTCCCGACTCTGGCATACTTCCCGTCACGAGCACAGGCAGTGAAAACATCACGCTGCATGGCGACCAATCGCCGAAGAACTGAAACGTGCAACGCATCTTGCAAACGTGCGCGGGCCACCAAATGCTCGGGAACCTCCGCTCTCCTAGCGGCTTCTGCCGCGCAGGCATCAGCGGCCCCGTGCAACAAACGCTCCACACGAGTAAGATAGAGGGCGCTGACTTGAGTTTCAGCGGGGTGGCTTTTGGTCCACCGAAGGTCAACATCGCCAGAACGCAGATCCAGGGTTTCCCGGAGAACCACCCACAAGTCGATCATGTCACAACTGTCCAGGGCCGCACGCGGCCTACGAAAACCTCGAACCATAGGAAGGTAATCGCTGAAAATCAAAACACGCCCACAGGTATAGCGGAGCACGAAAATCAAGGCCATGAGCTCCGCACGCGGGGATGACTGGTCAGGACCTGGGAGAGCACCTGCAAAGCCACCATCGACATCGTCGAGCGTAATGGACAAACGGACAAATGCCCACCCACATCTCCTTAGTCTGGCATCCTTAGCAAATCCCCCCCCCCCCCCGATCCGTCGATCCCCAAACTCCTCCTTCCTTCACAACACGATCCTCAAACGAGCCCCAAAACCAGGTCAGATCCTGAGGCTTGGGCAGATGCCCAACGGTGCGATCCGGAAGCATGAGCCTGCGGCACCACAGGGCAGGACAATCAGATTGAGCTGCACGCTCGCCTAAATGCTCTGAATCGGCCACCGTGGTTCGGGGTTAAACTCGTTCATACAACATGTCCAAAACCTGTGGTACGGGGTCTCCTTATCCTCACCACAGCGGACACACACTCCCGCAGCTGAAGTTTCATACCCTGCGTTAAAGCGACGGTCATCCGTCCAATAACCCCCTGAGATGGTGTTCAACAAGGTGGACTGCCCCTCATAATCCAAATCCCGTCCCATCCTGGTAGACTCTTTCCGAATACAAGCAAAATCAACCCCACCCTCCACTCCAGCCTCCATATAATGACAGGCAGCCTTGCTCCAGATCAAGGCTTCACAGGTGCGCTGGATGGAGCGGCGAAGGTGCAAACGAAAACCAGGTTGGGACAGCTGGAGCAATTCACCACGATCATCGCGCCAGCGGACAGGTGAACGAGACAGCAATCCTAGATCAATCAAAACAGCAACTGTGGCCGCCACTGGGCCACGAACTCGACGCCAAACTGACTGCGCCGAGATATTCGAAAACTCCTGGACCCTGCTTCTCCAAAGTCCGGCCACTTTCATTGTTAACCGATGTTCCAGAGACTCCCAAGCAGAAGCAAAGCCTTCCAAATGCTCACGACGGAGGCGGTAGATGGGGCCCCCTCGAGTCCCTCCAAAGATCCCAAGAATCGCAATGGAACAGGCCCCCAGCATGCCAGACGCCAGAGCACACCGCAGCCTGCCCTCGAACACATTGAACCTGAGTAGGGGAGAGGCCCACCACCTGACGCCCCCAAGTTCCAACAGCTAAAACTCCTGGCTTGTACAACTTAGCAGCCTTCTTCACCAGCTTAGTTAAGTAACGAACCTTGCGGGCCTTCATGGCCGCAATATGTCCACGCTTTTTGGTAATACTCACTGAACGTCGCTTACCCGCAGCAATCGAAGTGCCTAGATCACGCGCGGCCCTCGCCAACTTCAACTTGAAACCAGCAGTCCTGAGGTCGTTCAGGATCAGCGGGGCAAGCGGCCGGCAATTCCCAACGACGGCAGACTTGTCAGATAACAAAAAAAACAAAACAAAAAAAGCTCCGATGACTCCAGCGAATGGCCAAGGTGCACAGCAGCAGAGACAAGTTGTTGCCGAACCTCCTCTGCACCACCCTGGGCCACTTGGGGCGGATCATCGACGTACGACCGAGTAGAGACACCAGGGTGATAACGATGATGCACGGCACGCAAGATCTGATATATATATATATATATATATATATATATACACCTCAACCCAAGACATCGACTGCATGCACCCAGGGAGCACCCCAATGCCCGACGAAATCAGCTCAGGACAAAAACCCGGCGACTCGAGCATCCGAGGGGCCACGTGGATCACGAGGCCGAGGTGGAGCAAGCGAGGCGGGAACTTCAAATCACATGCAAAAGAGACCAGCCGCGCAGGGACCACCGTGTCGGAAAACTTAGTGAGGTCCCAGTGCACAGCCACGCTCTTCTGACCTTCGAACATCGCCACCTCGTGGCAAATCTCCCTCCCAAGGGCCGCCTGCAGGGCAGAACTACCTAAAACCGCGTCGCCACAAAACTCACGGTGCCCACGGGGCCACTCATCCAGAAAAAAAAAAAAAAAAACACCACGGATTTTGCAGTAGACCCTGCACAGCGTGGGACACGTACACACGGGACGCTCATCCACCGAACTCGTGGGAAGGTGGGCAATAATCCCCAGGAAAACCTGAGACGGCCACATCATGGCCTGCTCGCACTCATTGAACAACTCAGACAGGGCCCCCAGGGCCTGGGGATCCAACTGGAGGAAATCACGGGGTCTCCAGTGGTCAACTCCCACAGCGGTGGTTTCAGAGAACATTCGGCTCGCAGCATACACATCCCTAGGCTCGACCCGGGGAAGTTCAGGGGCCACCTGCAGGGCCCGCAACCTTAGCTCATCCAACGCCTCCCCAAGCTGATCGAGTTGGGATGGGCTGGCTGTCCAGAGACGGCTCCACTTCTGAGTACGGTGAGCCATCATTTCCTCCGGCAACTGCAGCACGCCCTCGGGCGCGACGAAATACTCCAACGGGTCGCCTTGGTCACGTTTCAGCCACGCATGGGCCTTCTTAGCCCCATGCGGCAAGGCCCTCAGGAGCCAGTCCTTGACAGCCTTAGCCGCGGAGCTCCTAGCCTCATGCCAGGCGTTGGTGAGCGTGTAAGAGCTTCGATCGATCAACTCCTGACATCGGTGCGGCTCGATGCAAGTTAAATCTAAAAGCTGAGCTCGCCACTCTGCAGCAGTCTGGTCAGCAGACAAGCACGACGTGCACTCATCCACTCGCTGTCCCAAGGCGCACAGGCGGCTGGCCAGTCCCATGCGCATGCGGCGGTACCCATGCTGGACTGCAACCCGCAGCCCAAACAGCTTCTGCGAGACGGTAGACCAATACGTTAGGACAGGCTGCGCAAAGCTGCCAGACGAGTTGCGGTGGTCCGTCAGCGTGGCACGTCGAGTGTTCATATGCGCGACACGCCCAACATAATTGTCATAATCATGCTCGTGATCAATATGTCCATGCAACCTAAACATGTCCTCAGTAGCCCGTGACCATATATGACAGTACGACGTCAATTCATGAAACAAATGATTGCTGACATGGGGTACAAGCTGTAGGCAGCAATGATCTTCCGCACGCCACCTAGCAAGAGCGCCAGCGAGGTAGTGCGACCACGGAAGTCGCGGCGCCTCGACATGTGGGAAACTGCGGGGGCTTCACCCTTTTAGACAACTGCCGCAGAAGAGCTGAGTGAGGCAAGCGGATGTCCAGAGCAGAATGTGTTTTGAACGGGGACGCGCGGTACTTATTCACATTCAAATAGGGCGCCAAGGTCTCACTGGCCACCACGTAATCAATCAACGTCCCCTTCTCCATGCTACATGTGTACTCGACTCCCACAGGTGGCAACGCTCGGCTCTTGGTCGTCTCCAGAAAACCACAGAGCTCCATGAGCTCAATATCGATAGTAAAGTCACCGACAAGCATCCAAGGTATGCTGAGAGAACCGACGAAGTTGCTGATATGCCTCGTCTTCCGTATATTCTCACCAGAGACCCCCAAGTCAGCGACCACGTAAACAATGCCTACAGCAATAGCACACCTACGGTTTTCAACTCAAGAAACATCCAACCGTTCCCCGATCCTACTCACGAATGGCACGATCGTGTGCCAGGAAACGTTTAGATATATATATATATACATATACATAAAAAAACTCGTGTGCACAGCGGCCCCGGCGCCCCCATGGGCACCACCCCCAGGGGAGGGGGTCGGGGCGAAAAATGCGGCCGCCACTTCATGGCGGAGGCCTGCCGCTTAGCATCCTTCAGCTCGTCAGGGAGCTGGCGGTGTTCACAGAACAGGAAGGCGTCAGCCTTGGAATGCAGGTCTGAAAGGAACGCCTTGGCTAAGGCACTCCAGCGTGTTATGTGACAATAAATCAAACGAACTTGCCTCTCACTCACATGCTTACCACTGCTAAAGTCCAGCCATTGGCATCTGCTGGACCGCAGCCTTGAACAAGTCCTTCAAATGAACGCCCACTGCATCCTTGGCCCTCCGCAGGCGCTCGGTCGCACGGGCTGCGGTCTGCTGGGCAATGAGCTCCCCCATTCGATGCTGATCGTGCTCTGCCAGTGCGCCTTCGAGGGGCCGCTTCTTGATCGTAGCCAGCTCATCGGCCGCCTCCGCAG